TTGTTGATTTCATAGGATTAAACCTATCCCAATCACCCTAGAATTCTCTGAGTCCTCTAAAGCAAGTAACATTTTAGTAAATTGCCTCTAAACTTTAAAAAGGAAGAGAGGGGACTTCAGGGTGGAATATAATTATTGAAAATTGCCTTTGGAATACAAAATCTCTTCACTTTGTGACCTTAGGCAAGAGGACTACAATGAAGCTGATACCTGCATGGACACAGTAGTCATAGGAGGAGCAGAAGGATTTCATATTTATGATAATTCTTCTCAATAGTATAATGTATTTCTATTGTTTTCAGAAATAAAAATTCAGATAAATCAGTTGGTCAATTTGCCTGAGGGCCTGCGTTTGATTCCTAGAACCTACATGGTTAAAGAAAATTGACTCGAAGGTGTTCTCTGACCTCCACAGGCATGCTATGAGATACACACACACGTCATTACACAAGTTCTGTTTTCGCAGCACACAGAAGCCTATTTTCTGTGTACCTTCGTCAACCTTTTATTACCTTTTAGACGTATGAATGAAACTATCTCTGTTTCTTAAAATAACGTCGAGAGGTAACAAAGCTTCCTGGGGAGTAAACTATTTGAAGCATAATTCTACTTCAACATAGTATCTTCCCTTTTTCATACAACTACCTAAGGAGACAAATAATTGCCTATTGAATGCAATATGGCTTCCCCTAGTCTTCAGATAATGGATCCTGTACTGCTTTAACAAAGAATCATAAAAACCTAAAGTGAGAGCTTTAAAAAAAGGAAAAAGTATCAAAAAGAACCCTAAGAGTGTAAAATTAAAAACCTTTTTCAAACTCTTGGATATCAGACACATGTGACAGGCACTTCTCTCAAAGTGTAACAGAGAAAAGAGATACAGCAGTTGTGTTACGCTTTTCTTAAGCTAATAATATGTACAAAACTATAACCATAGATATGCTAGGATGTTTATTTCTCCCAAGAATAAAACTGCAGTGCTTACAAAAACATATACACATAGAAATAGGAAAGCGTTATATAAACATCAATTTCCCTTTCTTAAATCTTAAAACAGAAATGTCTAGACACATTTCATGGCATGTCAATTGGTCCTTTTCAACTATCTGCTTTTCAATTAAAAATTCTCCAACCCTTACCGAATACACTTCATGACTCATCAGACATGAACGCAGTTTAACAGGGAGGCTCTCACCCCTCTCCTTCCACCACAGCTGTTGGTACTAATATGAAATATGCCTGCAACAGCAGACGACAGATCCATCATGCTACCGAACTAGGATGAACTCTACCTGAGGCTCCAGATGGGCTATGTCTGCCACCCCAACAGCAACAACAATAACAACAAAACTTGTGTACCTTTGATATCCTTCAAGAGAACATCAGCAAACATAACTTTACATGCTAGAAAAGAACCACATTTTGGGGGGGGGGGCATAACACTTTGCAAGGCAAATGCACTCCAGTTCTGATAAAAAATGTCCAAAAGGAGTGTGCCCAGGACCTATGCCCTTGTACTTTGTTAACGAGCCAGATGCTTTCTCAAGAATGTGATCTAATTATCAAGACTCAACATACAGGAACTCCTCAGAGCCTGCAACAACGCCACAGCAGTGCTGGTTCACCGCTCCTTATATGCAGAGTGGTGCCCTACTCCACACAGGTGAGACTCATTCCTGTCGGCTTGTTTGGCTTTCTTTGGTGTTTTTATTTTTCTAAGGAAGGTCTGTCATAACAATAGAAAACACATATTAAGCATTTGAAGGTAACTGCTGTTTACTGAAAACTATTTTAAAATAAATCTCACTGACTTGCTTCTGTTTGGTAACTCCAGGACAATGATAACTATAGTGTTTCCAAACATCCCAGAGTAGCAATCATACCCTATTCTGGCCTCTGAGAGGTGTTAAGCTTATCCTCCTAATTATAAGTCTTTCTCTGCTATTACCACCTCACCATTAACTCTCTAAACTAAATAGTAGTTTTGAGGAAATAAAAATAGACGTAAGGTAGTACTTTTGCTCAAATTTTGGCTACAATGGATGAGAAAGACAAGTCATTTTGTTTCTGTGTATAATAAGCATCTTTACCTTGTAAAAATAAAAGTCACTTTTACTGTATTTTGACTAGCAAACTCTAATTTAAGCTTTTTCTCAGAATACTGCTGCTTTCTTGCTTTATTTCACAACAGTGCTGCCCCACAGAACACAAGACACACTTGTTAGTACTTGGGGTGAGGGTGGTAAAAAGTCAAACAAAACAATAACAAAAAAAACCCAATACTTAATACATTATCAGTATAACATAGTTAATTTAAATATAATATAATCAAGTATTTTACATTTTTTTCTTGGCACAAACTTTTCACAAGCCAGTATGTATTTTACACTTTAAGGCAACATTCAGAACTGGACACATTTGAAGTGTTCAAGAGCACATGTGGCTAGTGGTTTTTGTACCAGCCAGCATATTCTAAACTTCCGGAAAAACAGAGGTTTGGATCTATAAGTCCAGATGCTTTACAATCTTTCAGTGCACAGGACCTTCAAGTGAACCACATATCTTGTGAATATATTTTGCTCACTTCCTCTACTTTCCTGATCATCATATACATTGCCTTCTCTAATGCCCTTTAGAGCATTCAATAAATACATAAATAAACCTCAACTGTCCATCTATTTGGGCTTATTCCAAGAAAGATCTAAGATGCTCTTTCGTCCGCACATCTATCACCAAGCAGAAAGCCAGAAGGTGCGGCAAGACCTTTCTGCTTCCATAAATAGACAGATCAAATACAGGCCTATGGTATGGTGACAGACATGAGTGCATGGGAACAAGTTTGCCTTACAGTGACAATAGGAAACCTTATGTAAGAATAGCACGCTCTTCCTCAGTGAACACTACCACTGCATGCTTCTCCCCACCCCCTCCACCCTCAAGGAGAAACCTTGAGGTAATCTCTTCCTGCTCTGAACAGAACCAAGTGTTTCATTTCACAGGAATTCTGTGCCCTGAGCAAGAACAGAATGTTAGAATCAAATTTTAATGAATTCCACTTGGAGCCTGCCTCCATTGTGAAAGGGCGCACACAAGCACAGCAGTCTCCCAGGCCATGCAGCGCCCCGTCACTGTCTCTCCTGACATGTTCCCCACACGTGCTTCATAGGCTCTCATTTGCTCTCAGTCCAGGAGGAAAATACTCAATGAAGCATACGTGCGCTTTGTCTAAGTCTCTCCCAATAAGAAAATGTGGCAATGAGGTCTTCAGGGACAGTGTAATTATAAAACAGATGAACAGGTTTTCTGGTGCTGACCTAACCTGTTCTATAAACACAGCCGTCAGCTTCGTAGTTCTCACCGAGGGAACTCCGCGTTAAACAAAGAGGTATAAAAACTTGAAGTCTAGATTTGAAAAAGGGCCTAACAGTGATTAAAAATAAAAAAAGAAAGAAAATGTAACCCCCTACAACTACATAGAACAGGAACAGTGGACCATGATATGTTTCGGAAAAGCTAGTTTAACTGTCACCGACTTTTAGAAGGGCAAAGATGGAAGTGACAGCCACGTGCTTTCTCCAGCTATGAAATAACGTATTATCTCTAACACATCGTCTGTACTGCACTAAGTCCTTCAAAGATCTGTAGTCCTTGAAATTTCATTTATCATGTCTTGGTGGTCAGAATTTTATCTGGAAAAATAGGACCAGGAAACAACACCAACACTCTAAAGCCAGAGACGAGAATGCGGACCCTTAGCCCGGTGTAGAAAAGTTATGCCCTAAGTAAGTTCTTTGTATAAACACTGTGTTGAAACCCAGGAGGGAGGAATAGCATGTCCGTCGGTGTACTATTTCAAAGCACGTTGCAGAAGGCCTGCAAATCCAAAGGCCATAATTATGATTTCCCTCGTCGTGTATTAATTTGTTTCTGAAATTCCTCAGAGTATGGCAGAGTTTATTAATCGTTTGCTCGGCCTGTGTCTGTGTCGGTGGGCACCGAAACCTAAGACAGCGGCAATAACCTCCCAGGCCGCTTCCAACTTTGTTTTTAAATCCTGGGGACATAGGCTCCACGAGAAACCCAACTTAGCATCCCAGCAGCCAAACAGGCTACAAGCCAGAGAGACTTAAGAACACACTGAAGCTTGTCTCAACATCCCTGTAGCTGTGACATGCTGTGGGCTGGTCAGGAAGGCTTCGGCTCCATTTTTATATATGTAATCTTTTGATTCTCATGTTACAAGCTCTGGAATCAAAGTATTCTAACGAGACATTACTAACGATAACAAATTCGGGCTTTTTTTTTTCTTTTTAGGAGGTTGAGGGAAGGCTAAATATTTTCTTGGTTTTGTCTTTTTTTAAAAAGAAGTCTATATGCCTGACTACTTTTCATGAAAGCAATTCGACCAGCCTACTGCGGCTCCGCCCTGGAAAGCTCTATACTTACTTTTCCTACAGTTTTTTTTTTTCTTTTTTGAGTGACGCACTACAAAACGACCAGAAAGGGAGGAAAAGCGGCAGCCCTCTAAAGCAGGGCGTCTTCCGCCCTGTAAACTTGGCAAAAAGCACACTGGACTGAAATACAGCACTCTCCATATAAGGCAGCCCAGCTAAACATGTCATGCGTAATTTATGGGTGGCAGGCAGAGCATTAACCTCTGCGTGCACATACTTGGCCCACACGAAGCCAGTGCTGGATGGCAGCCCCCCCGGCAGGAGGATGCGGGCGCGGCCCGGGACCCGCGCAGCCGGTGGTAGTCCCCGCTGTCCCTGGCAGAGGTCACCGAGTTCAGAGCACTCGGCCACGCACCTGCCCCCCGCTCCCCGGCTGCCAGTCTCGGCCCGCAGCGCCCCCCGGGTACCCGCAGCGAGTCGCGGGGCCGGACCGGGAGCCACAGCGCGTCGCCGCCCCAGTGCGGGCCGGGGACCCCCGAGCGCCACCCCGGGTCGCCGCAGCGCCGCCCGCAGCGCCGAACAATGCGCGGCCGCCCCGCCACTCACCTCTCACGTGGCCGTGCAGGCTGCCCGCCGGGGCCCCGACTGCCCGGGGCATTGTGGGATCGCGACTCCGGGATGCCCGCCACGGGAATGGGAACTGGCCGGGTCGGGTCACGGGAGCATGGCGAGCGCCCCGACTCGTCGGGCAGCGGCGAGAGACTGTGGCATGTCGCCGTGCAGCCTCTTATCGCCGCGCGCCGGTTTCCGCCGCTGCGCGGCCCCTCCCCCGCGCCGGCCCCGCCAGGAAGGCGCGCGGACGCGCCGAGCTCCCACGCGCAGCCCCGGCCCCCGCCCGCCCGCCCGCCTGCTCGCCCGCTCGCCCCGGCCCGCGCCGCCGCTTACCGCCGCTCCGGCTCCGAGGGCTCGGCGGCCAGCCCGGGAGGCCCGCAAGGTTAGACGAAAGGTTAGAGTCAGCGGCCCGGCCTGCCGGGGCAGAAGCGCCGCACCGCCTGGAACCTGGAGGGCGAAGGGCGGGAAAGAAGGCGCAAGGGTGTTGGTGGGGGATTTTCCTCCAGCAGTCAGCACTCCACAGTTTCGGAGTTCTCCGGGAAAACAGATCGTCTCTCAAGCACAAACACAGGCCACCTTCCCATCTAATCAGTAAATCAAACTTGAAACTGAAAGGCTCCCTGACTTCCAACTCCGCAGTGTAGTGTGCAGAAAGCAGGGCTCCCTCTTTTAAAATAAAATAACATCTTAGGGAGATGCAGAAGTACTCCCACGCAAACAAGCCCTGGGCAATGGCCTGAGCTAATGAAACCCCAGCCCCCTAGTTCACTGGGTGCTGTCCTGTAACTTGGCTTTAAATGAAAAGAATCCTGGGTCTCTGAGAAGAGATAAAGTTTGAAGATTTGCGGGCGGGATTTCCTGTTAATTTAAGGAATTCTGATAACTTGGTCAAGGATGCTTTTTAACTAAAAACGTTTGTTCCGCGGTTTGAACGTGATTCGAGGGAGATGCAAACCCAGACCTTAACAGGATTTTTCCCTGCATGTTTGTACTGAGAGGGCCAGGCCGTCTTTCCCAGGAGGAGTAAAAATGTCAGGAAAGGTGTTAGGTGCGCAAGTGGTTTGCAGAGATACCAGTCACAGACCCGAGTAACAGATCCTGTGCTTGGTCCGCGGAACACTGACTTAATCCTGCTTACTGATCCCTTCCTGAACTAATTAATTACCTAGCGCCACTTCTCAGCGTTAATCATTAAAAGTCCCCCAAGTCCCCAACAATGGAAACAATGTAGAATTGACACTAACATTTTCTCAGCCGACAGGGACAGAGAGTTTCTAACTGACAATTAGTAACCACCATAGCCCTGGGACTTCCTTTCTTCTCAGTATTTATTTCAGCAGCTGGGTGGAATGCGGGCTATGGCAGAGATGTTAAGTATAGGTGGGATGGGGGAGGGGACCCTAGCCAAGGATTGTGTTCTGTGAGCAGCCTTCTGCCTGCTGGATAGATAGGCGCTATGATGATAGACAACCCAAAATGAGCCCGAGACAGGGAGGGAAGGGGGTCCTTGGAGGAATTGCATATAACGAGTGCCTTGAAAGATGTGCAGAAGTTAGTAAGATGAGAAGAGAGTCGAAGGGCTAACGAGATGACTCATTCTTAAAGAAACGTGCTCAAGCCTGAGGACCTGAGCTGAAATTCAAAGCACCGGAACCAGGTTCTGTAGTTAGTGCTGGAAAAGAGGTAGAAAAAATGGGAGATACTCAGAGTCCATTGGTCAGCACTGACGTCAGGGTTCAATGGGAGACATTCAAGAACTAAAGTAAATTTCAGAAGAGACCTGGTATGGGCTCCTGACCTTCACATGCGCGCAGACATAGGCACAGGGAGTTTGATGGAGGTGGGCCTTGGGATAGTGGAGAAAAGAGCAGAGAACGTGCGAGAAACCTATCTGTTCAATTCCCCGTAGAATGACCACAATCGTCTTTTTCTAACCCTTCTGTAAAAGGAGAAAGTGTAGGCAGGAGAGGAAGCCACGAACTTCAACTTTACTCCGAAAACCATGGTGAACTAGTTTGCAGGACCAGGGAGATAGGGTGGAGTCTGGACTTGCATTCTAGAAAGGTCTTTGGCAAATGCTTAGAGGGTGACTAGGAGTATTCAGGGATGTTGGCAAAGGAAGGGTGAATGGGTGTAGACACTCTGGAAAAGTGACTCATGCAGGGACTGAGGAAGGGAGGGGCTTTGGGAGACTCCCAAGGTCCTAGTTTAGCCCACTAGATTGCTACTGGCCTTTCAGTTGCTTCCCATTTTCTGCCAACAGAAAAAGCCCTTACTTCCTGATAAGATGGCTACCTTTGTACCCACTGTGGTAGCACCCGGTGCCTCTCTGATCAGACAGTTCAGTGAGCTGCAAGGCCTCCTGTTTGGGAAATTAATTTACAGTTACGCTCAGACCCCTGTCTCCTTCCAAGTTAGAGACTTCCTGATCTTTTTTTTTTCATGTGCTAGAAAACATGCCCTTTGCAACTGAACATAGTAAAAAGCAGGACTTTGAACCTATGCGTGGTACAAGAGGAGAAACTGCTCAAACTCTGCAGGTTGGGGAACTTCTAAAAACAAAAGAAACATTGAAACAGACACGAATTTTGTTTCACCAAATAGAACAAAAAGGAATTCAAGGAAGGCACTTAATGTTATAAACAATAGAATGAACATTCTAGTAAAGTTTTAAAAGAAAATGTTATTTTACAAGATAAAGAGAAAGAAGAATGCTATGTGTCATTCAAGCCAATCTAAACCTTAGAAATGAGCCAAAATAGATTAAGGTCTGAAACAATATTGCCAGCGAGTAAGCCTAACCTGTTATCATTTAAACTTTCCAACCACTGAAGCAAACATAAAGCCATATGATAAAAATATTAAACCATGTTTCTTTCAACTACCAATAGCCATCCAGTCACTTTTCAAATTGTGGAAACTACTAACAAAAAAATCATGATTGTAATAAAAAGCTAACAGCCCCCCATTTAGAATCTAACAATACTCCTTCAGTGCCAGGAGGCCATTTAGGTTTTCTCGTACACTGCGAGGTGATGTTCGAGTTTTCCGACTCATGAATGCACACATCCATAAGCATGAAGTGGCTGGCAGTCATTTGCAGGAAGAAAGGGAAATCACAGAAACAGTTTCAGATGAAATAAAACTACATTTTCTTGGTAAAGGAAAAAAGTATCCATGGCAGGTTCCTGAACTGTTTCAGTTCTTTCCAGTCTTCATTATACCAATGAGTCCAGCAATACTACACTCAGGGAACATGGATTCTGCAGATAATATCAGCTCCTGTTTTCTGTTTTCCAACAATATAGATTTAAAAAAAAAGTAACATTTATCTTTCTCAGGCAAATGGAAGTCTTTAAAACCCATGTAAGAGTGTTTGTGTTATACACTCTGTTCTATATGGCGCATTCACGCTCAGCAGGTCCCACTACTGCCTTTCAATATAATGTCTTTTGTGCCTCCCCCTTTCATGTCCTCCAAACCCAAGAAAGATGGTTGTGAAAGCAGAAATATAAAAACCTTCTGAAGCACTTATCTATAATTTATTTTAATATAGCAGGATAAAATAATTATCTATAATAATAGTTACATAATATATAATGATACAATATATGATATGATATGATATGATAATACTGAATAAAATAATTGATTTTGTGACAGTATCAAAACTGGGACCCAAATTCAGTCCCTACACTTCCTTATCATGCTTAAGTAAAACTAGTTAAGAGAAGAAGCTACTAGAAGTAACAAAAACACTGTAAGCACCTTTGTATGGAGAATCACTATTAAACCTATGCATCTGTACCTATGTTATATTTCATACCAGGAAAAAGGTAACTTCTTCTGTATTTTTAATTCAAACTTGTTCACAGCTGAATATCCATACTTGACTGACTTATATGAATCTATTTATGTATCTTTTTATCTTCAAGGATAATTGTACATTTCACCTAAAAAGTTCTTATAATGCCTATTATCTAAATATAGATAATATACCTTAGATATTATATAATACAACATGAAACATACACTGGTTATTGTATGAATTGCAAAAATATTTCATATAAATCCATAAATTTTCAATGTTTATAAAATTAGGACACTTCAAATATTGATTTATTGGCACATTTTCTAAGTTACCTAAAAATTAAGTCTTGTGTATAACTATTTGAGGATATATCATAATGAAGAGTTTGGTAACATGGAACGGTAGTAAAGACTGAAGGTCGGGACCACTGGCCTCAGAAGAGGAGGACAGTGCCATTGAAGCAGAGCAGGACTGGCATTGGTGCTGTCTGACTCAAGTTCTTCCCCTCTGTGCTTAAGGCAATGGAAACAATATGAAGACCTATCATAGGCCCATCTCCTCTGCTGAATGTGAGCATCAACTGCTTTAGGCTTCTGAGTGCTCTTCCATCTCTGTTCTTCCTTCTTTCCTTTCTCTCATTCTGTTGTCCATCCTTCTTTTCTTCTCTCCTTATAGAAAATTCTCCCCCTCCCCAACAAAGCTTCCATGCATTGTACAAGTATCTAGTGAGCATCACCTTAACCAGTCAAGCATTTTTAGGTTCCGTGTTTAGAAGTGAACACAGAGGAATCACTTTCCTCACAGCGGTGGGCGGTGGCCGGGGGAGACAAGCAACAAGCAAATAAATAAAAGGAAAGCATAGGGATAATTGCACATGCAGATGAGCAGTTCTAAGTAAAACCAAAGAGACAGAGGAATTGTGTGATATGGAATGAATCCAGACTGAGGTGGCCGTGTCCTGAGGAAAGAATGGGTTCTCTGGGAAAACAAAAGGCATAAACTCTTTGTGGGACAGGCTGGGGGTAGGTAAACAGAAATGGGCTGCCTAACCTCAAGGAATTTACAGTTAAAGGAGAGAACACAAGAATCTGAAACAAAGCACTCAGGAACCGCAAAGCAATGACCACAACATTTAGGCTCTGTGGGAAGCATGGATGAACTGGTTGTATTAGAGGGGAGATGGGCAGACATACGTTGGCCCTAAAGATGACCAGCTTGTTCTCCCCTGCCATCTGGTATGGTCTGGTCTCAGAGCAGAAGGCAGGAAGCGCCTCAGTGCTGAGAATGAGCAATACTATCAAGAAAGGCAAGTGGAAGCAAGTGGCGGGCAGGGCAGCCACGGAAAGGGATTTGGTTAAACACCTCTAGCAATATAGTCTTGCAAGTACTGTGGATTTATTC